TCGATTCTAGATAAAACGTGATAGATGATAGAAATAAACTGCAGAGGGTAATTGCGAACAAGGTATCGAATAATTAAATTAGACACTACATCATGGGATATTGATACACACCACCGGGGCCAGCAAAAGCCCGGCGAATTCAAAACAGAAAGAAGCATAAGATAAAACAGACAGCCACCCTAACCCGCAAGAAACTCCTTTCCACCACCCTTCATCTAATGTTTATGGGCTTCGCACGATCTCCAGACAATGAGACACGCTCGAACCATCATCCGCCGGACGCGGACACCCTATCTCACCCTTTGGCTTCTCCAGCGGAAGATTTATAATACGAGGTTGGAACTTCGGCTGCAACTCCTTCTTCATATCCCTTCTACCCCAGACATATCCAGCTCCCAGCATAGCTACGGCTATGCATGCCAATGGTAGTCCAACACCGAGTCCGATAGCGAGTCTCTTTGATTTTTCAGGATCGGACTGATCCGGTTCGCTGTTGATGCCGCGGCTACTGTCACCCAATGGGGATCCAGTTCCTGTTGTTGTGGGTGCAGAGGTAGAAGAACCATCGGAGGCGGAATTGGAGTCGGAGCCAGAACCGGAATTTGAACTAGAACCGGACTTGGAGTTGGAGTTGGAGCCGGAGTTTGAGTTAGAATTCGAGTCGTCATTAGAAGAGAATTTGAGGAGTGCGGAATCAAGGGTAAATGTCTCGTATGTGTTGCAGCAGGCAGTGGTACTACCACAGCACCAGGATCCGTCGCCGCAGTTGGTCAGCTGGTAGGTCCAGTCGGAGTTTCCGCCGTTCTGTCTCTATTATCAGTTGCTAGTTCGTCTGACGAAGACAGGGAAGAGACTGACCTGATTACCACAGATGTCCTTTGGCAAGCAATTCGTCGAGTTCCACGATTGATCCGTGCAGAACTCCCGATAGTATGCTCCTCCACTTGTCTGACAAAGTCCCGAGGGATCACACGTATCTGGATCCGCATCATTGAGTTTACAGCACATTGAATGTACACCCGAGATGGACACGCATGGCTGGTATATGGAGCTGTCCACTAGTGAACCATCCGGTGCATAACACGATGATGCAGCTGCCAGAGAAACATAGCTTGGGATGAGGGCCCAGAAAGTGCCCGTGTTTATCTTCATTGTGACTGTCTGATGATGATTTCAAAGACCGGGTGAGATACACCCTATAGAAAATTAAAGAAGAAAAACTAAGATAGGATGACAGAACTCCAATTTCAAGCTAACAGAGGTGATTTAAACATAAACAGACCCTGCATCTGCCTCGCGAGACTTTGTGTAACGTTGCGGATTCCTTACCCGGTTTACTTGTTCCCGTTTAGGAAAACGTGGGGACTATCTTATCGAGGGAGATGCTTGTGACAGAACCCCCTTGGGGATATAAGAAGAGGATGATCCTACTGGCCCTTTGCTGTTAACTTTCTGGTACCGTGGGTGGGTGGAAGTAGTCAAAGAGAATCTGACAGAATACCTTATTGGTATACTCGAGAGAACTAGGAAGACTCCATGGTGGTGAGCCCGATCGGCAAGGCAGGAATGTTATGGTGTTGTGTAGAAACTGGGACAAGATTTGTCAACTAGAACCACTGCATTGGTGACCTCCTTGGGAGGTGCAGTATCCTGCTGAACATGCTATAGTCCGCTTAGATATTCCTCTCTACTATGTTAGCTACGAATGACTGGCAGGGGAAGGTGAACCTGCATACTGAGAAACAGCTGCAGGGTTGGAGCTTCAGTGCACTAAGTCGGTGTTAGTTTCTCACAACAATTTGAACAAACCCCACCAACGGTGCTGCTGTCAGGCCCACACCCCTTGGCAACCGTTGCATTCCAGGGCGGGAATGCAGGTCCCAGGGGTGTGGTGGGGTTGCGGAAATCAATTCCCAGATACACCCCTTGTTTCACTGATGGCCACAGATGGAATTCCGAGATTACAAAAAGATCCTGGAGTGCATACCAATCAAGGGATGAAGGACGGAAGATAGTTATCTTGCCAGGGAATCAAACGACAGGGAAATACTAGGGGATCCCTCCGCTCTAACAGACGCTCGAAGGGGTTGCAATCCTACAAGGACTGTCCACCCCCTTCGTAGTGGCAGACACCCTCCTTCTACTTCGTTACGCTATTGCTAAGATTTCTGGAACATTATCGTGTGATCAATCACTAAGGTTTGCTCATAGAGGTCATCAATTCAATATAATTATGTAAACACATTATCTACCATTCATTCCACCCCTATGCCCAACAAGGAAAGCATTATCACTTTTCCTCCCTAAGAGACGGCGGAATGCCCTCATCCGCCAAGGCCTGCATATCATCCTCACCCATGGCACCATCCCACCCCTTTGATACAAGGTAGGCCCGGAATTTCTCATCACGGATTCTCAAATCCTCACCCGAAATGTCCGGAACAAAGAAATAAGTCACCAGAATTCCCACAACACCACAAATAGCCGCAATGATAAACGTCCACTTCTTACCCAGATTATCCTCAATGGGAGTGAACGCTTGGGTACCAATAGCAGCGCCTGCTTTTCCCACAGCCGCAGACAGTCCATAGCAGGTACCCCGAACACCGGTGGCGTACAGCTCCGACGAAAGTAAGCCGAGCATGTTCCCTGGGCCAAAGTTGCCCGAACTCTGCATGAGGCCGTAGAAAACCACAAACAGGGGGATGATCTTGGTGATTTTCTCAAATGCACAGCCGATAATCAGACCGAAAATGAGGTAGCCACCGAATCCGATCATCATCACGTTTTTGCGACCGAGTTTGTTGCAGAGGAGAGCGCCGAGGAAGACACCGGGAAGGGAAATGGCTCCGAGGAGGAGCTGCCATTCGCCGGTTTTGAGGATTGAGTCGTCGTCGACCACGGAGGAGATGATACTGGCGGAAAAGACGCCGTTGGGGAAGGTGACGAAGTCTGTCTAAAGTTAGATGTGGTTGACAGATCGGTGATAGTGAAGGGTACGTACCGTAGAGGAACCAGGCACCGCAAGTTCCAATGAGTGACTTCCAGTAATAGCGAATCACCAGACCATATGGAACTCGCTTCTTAATGGCTCCACGACGATAGAGCGCCGAGTTCAGCATGCGCCATCGGAAGTAGAACACGGAAAGAGGCCAGATGCACCCGATACCGAAGCAGACGCGCCAGACGGTGCTGTAGTGGGATTGCTGGCATGCTGAGAACACAATCAAAAAGACTAGAACAGCGAAGGGACCGCCAAATGATAGCGGAAAGTTTGTCACCATGATGAAGGCTGGACCGCGCTGCTTCAGGGTCAAGTCATTGGCGGTTTCGGATGCCGAAACTGACGATGCGGGATATTCACCACCGGTTCCTGAGACAATCAGCGCTCATCAATCAAACGTACTGGAAGATGAATGCATGTACCAAAGCCAATAATACCACGTGAAACTGTCAGCATCCAGAACATGCCGTTGATAGTGACACCGTGTGATGCGGTGGCCAAGATACCGCCGATTACGATCATTAGAGTCGTGAAAACCATGGCAGCTTTGCGTCCCATGTAGTCGCATGTCAAACTAGACGCCAACTTAGAAGCCTCACTCTCGAATAAGGATGCCACAGACATACCCGATCACAATCTGACCAATGACTTCTCCAACAAGCAGGGCATTTGACACGCGCGTCGATACAGCAGAGACATATTGTTTGGGGTATTCTGCCTTTAGAAGCACGTTGGTCATAGTCCTGCATATTATAAGCGGGGTACATCGGCATATCGTCTGCGGGGTAAGTACATGAGGTTATTCTGGTACCCATCGCTGATGAGGGCGAATCCACTAGCAAGCTAAAAACATGATCAGTAACGTTTCCCAAGTAGATATTGGATCAAAATAGATTTGCAGCCAAAGAAGGAAACTAACAATGGTCAAGAAGTCAGAAAGACTCTGTCTCTTGCGGGTCACCTCAGCCGAAGGATCAGCGTCGGAGGTATCGACGGCCTGGACGTGTGTCTCCAGGACGCCGACATCCTTCGACTGAGAGCTTTCCCACGAGTTCTCAGTAGACATCGCAATGCTGCAAAGAAAAGAACACCAGTGAGAGATGGATTGGAAAAAATCTCATTGCACTGCAGGAGGATGCGCACGAGGGCAGGTTTTTATCTGGGCGTGTAGCCTCTTCCCACTAGGATGGTTACATGCGTATGCAAGCGTGACTACCAATCAGAGGCCGGTCGCAATAGGGATCTCATCCTTGTTATCATGCGTTCATGCAATTGGCGCATCAGATAAAGCTCGGTGGAGCCGAACCAATCATTGCCGCATGCGGGTTCACGTGCGTGGAGCCGTGGATAAGATGCTATGCTCATTGAAGCGCACCATTTCATCCACGTTGATACCAAGCACTATTTGACTGGTGCTTGGCTGGTAGGGCTTCCGATGAGATAACTTGACTGGGCTTCCGACGGAGTGGGACGGTTTACCTGTTTTTGCTCGGACTTACTCAGTAGGGGCGGAGTTTTGCCGCTTTACCGGCACGTGGTATAGAAGCTTTCGTAGGGCTGATGCCCAAGAGGACACGTGCTCTCTGTGACAGCACTGATTAGAATGACCTTAGGACTCTGTCATGACTCAGTAAAATGATATCAATAGCTGTGGGTGTGGCGATGAAGCAGTTGCAAGCTCGAATGGTTATGTGGGACCTTAACAGTCATTACCGGGATGATCAGTATGACTTTGCCACAGTCATGTAGAGTCTGCAAGATGTGTTGCTGCTATAACGTGGTGAAAGCAAAAATTAGCTACTGCCAGCGTCGACTTCGCCAATGCAGAAGATACTATGTTGAATGTTACTCACTTTGGCAGGCAGCCTGTATTACGGTGATCTAACATGTCAACTCCTGATGCTTACATTTTTGACGAAATGGTCTCGTCTTCTTTTTCTTAACCTAGCCCCTTCAAGCTTCAAATAATACAAATTAGTGTATATAGTTCAGTCATCTAAGTACGCAACTTATCCTTGAGATTAGCAAGGACAACAGCCGCGTAAGCCAGATCCCGCGCCTCCGAAGCCCAATGAGTCAAAGACCTTATTGCCTGGTCTAATAAGTCCGGCCAATCTGCCAAATAATCCACGAGTCCCTTGTTCGCCTTCACAGCTGCAATGATTAATAGGGCTGAGCTGAGTACACCGCGGGCGACAAACCATGTCCCATGATGTCGGTGCTGCGTCGCCTTGGAGTTGATCATATGGAAACTGCACTCGATGGCTTTTCTCATAAACCTCTCAGCCTCCTCCTTCTCGTTACTCTGTCCACCGTCATGATGAATTGCGTAGTATACAAATGGCCGATAGAGCCATGATCTCAGCTGCAGAACCCGTGCTTGCAGGTTGTACGTCAGCTCAAACCTGGGTGCCGAGTCCCATTCTTCGAAGTGGATTATGGATGGTCGGTTTCTGGACCTGACGTCGGACACCAGGCAGTCAATAAAAGAATACATAAGAGCCCCTACCCAGTTAACAAGGTTAGAGTTTTGTTTCTGGCAACTTACCAGTGATCTATTTGGGATTCGAGATCCGCGGCTGTCCGGCACATGTAAGATAGGTTGGCAGGTGACCATTGCGAGTCGTTAGTGCTGTACATAAAGTTAAGTATTTGCGCTTCTACGCGCATGAGTGCAACATCTGATAAGTAGTAATACGTGGACAACTTCCAGAGGTGTGACAAGTCTTCTGAGTCCGTTGGCGTCCCGGACAGCACTGCTTCGGAATCGGTCACGCTTACGGACGAGGGTATTGGGTACCCGTCGGATACGTTGAACTCACACAAAATCGAATCGGGGATGTCGAGCTCCGCGCGTAGGTCACTGGATAGATCACAAATATTAGCCTCATCCTAGATCGAGCAGTTACTCAAAGGAGACTGGCAGAAGAGAAAAGAAGGATAGAACTCACCATTCTGACTTCCAGCATGTCCAGTAAAGGCTCAGCTCTGCCGGATCTAAATGCCCCCCGTTCGAGTCATTACCCACAGCTGCTTCCTTGTGTCGCAAGTGGAGACTCAGAATGGCGGAGGCTCGAGAAAAGTCCAACCATGCTCTAACGGCATTTAGCTTGTACATCTGGTAGACCCCGCTAAGAAACCAGCATTGCGTGGTCAAAATCCGATCGCCAGGTAAGGAGAGCCTCTCCAACGCTTTCTGATAGAACTGCTCTCCTGTAGCGCGAAGTGATTCAGCGTGGTCATCACGTTCTGCCGAGCGATCATCATATCGAAGTGGACTTGCTAAACAGCCTAAGGCACAGGCGAGGAACTTGAACAAATATTCTTAGCGTGGTTGTGAGATCGGAGGTGGCGGTGACCGTCTATCTTGCACAGCGTTTCTGGGGAGGAGGGGGTCCCTTTGCTCACCACTAAACAGGAATGAGCGTTCTGAGAGGACTCGCCCACTTCGATCCTGACGGCCGATTGACGTAGGACAACCGTATTCACCACGGGATTCTTAACGTGTACAAACTGCAGGAAGCGGTCAATGAGATCTGGTATGAGGGCCAAATTGACATCGGTGTTGGTAACTTCTTCGAGACCATGATCGTGGTCGGCGAGAATGAGACTATTCAAAGTTGTTTGCAAGCGAACCTCTTGGAAGATCGGCCACGACAAAATTGCATCAGGACATATCCTGGCTGCAGGGATCTTCAGAGACACAGTCTGTGGCGTTTGTGGGCATAAGTTGGCCGTGTACTGTTTTGGCGGCCCTTTCAGAGGTAGGGCCGCCGTCACCCCTTCAGGAGCTAAGGAACTGAGAGACTGTTGGATTTCGGTTAAGCGATCGAGAATTGCAATGGTGGCGGGATCAAATCTAGTAAGCGTTATATGTGAACATGTTGTAGCAAACGTCGATACACACACGTATGTGAACACATGCATTCATGCGTATGTAGTAAATAGAACTTTGGGGGGAGAAGCAGCATACTTTGAGAAATCTACATGGTCCTGATATACGCAATGCGACTCAGAGATCTGGCACGAAGAGCAGGTCGGACGAGCATTGTCGCATTTGATCTTTCGCGAGCGACAGACCCTGCACGCTGCCACAGCCCGTTTGCGAGTAAAAACCCTCGCTTCTCGCTGAGACACCCTGTATTTGCTAGTACGTGATGTCATCCTTCACTCTCCCGAAAGTGCGTTCGTACCTCCCCAAACTCCCAGCTCGGATGGGACGAAGTGGAGGCTAAGTACCAAGGATCTACGGCAGTGATAAGGTCTAATAGTCGGATTGGCCAAACACGGTTAGGAAGCCTTTGTTTATTCCTAATTAGTTTTTCCGTTCCCCTTATCTTATCCCTTCCCGCTTACGCTTTGAATTTACACTGCGAAATGGAATCGCCTCCCCTACTGCCCCTGCCAGTCGACTTCTGCGTTCTAGATTCTGCCTAAAATTCTATCATGCTCTAAGAAAATGAGGATTCCTACATACATCTTCTTTTACCATATGTTTCACCTACGTATTATCGTTAGGAAGATCAATTTTTGTTGTATCAGAAAGGGTTGCCCTCAAAGAATATGGAATCCATTATTCATAAAATATGTACGCAGCACCAATTTGTCGTACCTCAGAAGGCTACCCATCTTAGCTAGTCCGTTGACTCAGGATGAAAAGGGAAGGCTAGATGCTGCATTATCATCTCCAAGCGCACCAAAACTGGCTAACTGCCATGCCAAGACAAGAGGACAACCAATGCAGTTGCCTTGCGGTTATTGGCTAGTGGGCAAGATTCTCTGGCCAGGGAGTTCCAGGGGCAATTTCAGACCATTTCATTTCGGTAGAAGTTAGGTATTGGATGCTTGTTTCGCGTCGTGGAACCAACGAGCCCTGCTCGGGAGGTATGGTCGCTGGAAATGCATCGTTGAGCTGCTGCAAAACAGCCCAGGAAGCTTGTGCATCAGAGTCATGATCCTGGGTGCCGTGTAGGTCACTGATGTCTAATGTGTGGTATAAAATAGGGTGCTTCTGGTAGTCAACATTGTTGTCCATGGCGGCTACAATACGCATCAGGGGATCGTATATGAAACAGTAGCCGACCGACGGCATCAGGACATATGCACCGCTGTTGAGGGCATAAGAGCCAGCACCCCTGGTCACGAGGGAGGCATTGTAGAATATGCTATCGGTGTCGTCATCGAAATTTAGGGCAAAGGGCCATGCGCCAATATGGAGCTTCGGGCGCTGAGCAGCCATGACGAAATTCATACTAGGGTAGAAATGTCTGTCATAATCAGTCAGCAACTTGGTTATATACACACCGTCACTATAAAATTTGGAAGGAAACAGGAAGAACCATACTCGCCACACTGAAGCATGCCAACACGACCCAGGGGAGTGCTCACCACTCTGAGCTGGTCGACCGTGCCATCGCTAAACATATCCCGTTCTGAACCAGATGGTCTAAGCTTCCGACGATGCATAACCACCTCGCCATCTTTAGAGATCAGTGCCTGGGCCATATAGATGTAGTTTCCAGATCTTTCGGAAAATGCGACAGCCGCCCAGATACCCACGGACTTAATTCCATCAATCAACGTATTCCACTCGTGACTCCCAATTTCCAGAGAGTTCTCAATGTAGGAGGCCAGATGTGTCTTCTTCCAGTCATTCTGTTCCCTCCATTTGGGAAATCTGCGCAAGTAGAGTTAGTGAAATGTGTCACGCGAGGTAAGAGGGCACATGAAGGAAACAGACCCGGGGAACCAAAGTTCAGGAAACGTAATCAAAGTGGCACCAGCGTCTTTGGCTTCGCGCATTAGGCGTAGACCCATTTCAATAGTTTGTGAGATGTCGATATTTATACCGGTCCAGTCGCGGTTCTGCAAAGGAAGCGGCCAGTTTGGCGGCGGGCAGCGCACAAGGGCCACCTTCATCTTTTGAGATTCAGCCATGTCTGCAGATCTATTAGTGGTGGGAGGAGTGATGAGGGAGATTGCACTGGGAAGGCTGGGCTGAAGTATGGCTGTAATCTCATGGGTATTTGTATCTCTTTCTATGCTTCGCCATCACTAGTCCCCGGTCATCTGAAGCTAAAGTATAGTAGCTAGGATATAGTATTTGTTGATGGGTCGGGGAGTCACGGAGCTGAGGTGAATTTGACCCACTTTTGTCACTGCCGACGTTGTACTCTTAGCGCATACTCCGCAGTCTTAGTCCTTATCGGTCCACTTTGGTGTCATCAGATAATGAATTGCTTAACGCCGCAACTCCCCGATTGGCTAATGTTTTATCAGTCGCTGATTCGATGGTCTATTACATGGAGCATCCGTCCCTACTCTACAAATAGAATTGGGATGGTCTCAAAACTGGCTAAGAGACTATGGCTTTGTTGCTGTAGGTTATTATCAACTTCGCATATTCCTTCATGGGTCAATCCAAAGGTATCCCAACCGCCAACCACCTCTCTGATATGGGGGCAGACTTGGAGGATGGAATGCTGATAGCATCACCATTTCCATGGACTGCACCTCATCTGGTGAGGCTGAACTTTTGTGCTCTCAGTCTAGTCTTGTTCGGTAGGTGCGCCGTGCTTCCTCAAGATTTAGGATAAGTGGTAACCAGATCCATGGCTAACGGCACCGGCAGCTTCGGCAAATGGATACGACTCGAGTATGATCAATAGTTTGCAGTCCTTACCCGCCTGGGTATCCTTCATGTCAAGCCCCACAGGAGCCTGGCTGGGATTTATCACCATTGTATACTGGATAGGACTGCTTCTAGCTTACACCGTTGCTCCATATATATCGGACCGGTTTGGGCGAAAGATCGGTCTATATATCGGGCTTCTATTCGTGACTGCCGGAGCAATACTACAAGGACTCTCGCCGAATCCGACCGGCTGGATTGTTGGACGTGGTCTGGCAGGGTGTGCAGCTTGCTTTTGGAGTTGTAATGCTCCAGTACTCATCAGCGTAATTGCATACCCGTCGCATCGAGCAACCGTTAGCTCCTTCTATCAATGTGGTTATTATGTCGGAAGTACCCTCGCTGCCTGGATTATCTACGGCATGCTGGGTAACTCTTCCTCATGGAGCTGGCGAGTTCCCTCGCTGCTGCAACTCATTTTACCACTTTGTGCACTGCCTGGTCTCCTACTCTGCCCAGAGAGTCCTCGGTGGCTCCTATCGCAGGGACGAGCTGAGGAGGCCCACACAATTCTTACAAAGTGGCATGCTGGGGGTGATAGGCACAACCCACTTGTCTTTCAGCAAATGCATGAGATCCAGGCTGCTCTCAAGATTGAGACCGAATCTGTACAATACACAAGCTACCTCGATATGCTGAAGACAAAGGCCAATCGTCGCCGTCTCGTAATCACCCTATCCATAGCCCTGTTTAGCCAATGGGGTGGAAATGGTGTTGTCTCGTTTTATCTTACAGAGGTCCTCAAAGCCGTCGGCATCACCAAGTCAAGCGAGCAACTTATTATTACAGCTTGCCTTCAGATATGGAATCTTATCTGCGGAATTGGCGCGGCCCTCCTGGTGGAACTAGTGGGCAAGCGTTCTCTGTTCCACTCATCGGCAATCATCATGACCATCAGCTATATTATGATAACAGCATTCACGGCGAGCTTTGAAGAACATCATGAACGCTCGGTGGGAACTGCTGTGATTCCCTTTTTGTTCATTTATTTTGCTGGTTACGGCATCGCCCTGTAGGCCATCCATCCCTACCGCCTACTGATAAAACGCTGTTGCTCACTATGCTCCCAGGACTCCGTTACTCATTGCCTATCCTTGTGAGATATGGCAATTTAGTCTCCGTACCCGGGGGCTTAGTATTACATGGATTTCATCCTGCCTGTTCGCCTCGTTCAATTCGCTGGTCAATCCGATCGCCCTCGAAACTATTTCGTGGAAGTACTATTTTGTATTTCTGGCAGTCCTTATTGTATACGGCATAACCGAGTACTACATGTACCCCGAAACAAAAGGCCGTTCCTTGGAAGAGATCCAAAGGCTGTTTGAAAGCGAAAACCCCGAACCAACGTCAAGGGGGACGACTGACTAAGTGTATGCTCTTTGTTGGAATAACTATGGGTGCATGAGAGGCAATGGCACTATCAGACATTTACATCTGACAATTTCAGCTATATCTACATTGAATAGTAAATCGTATATGTTTTTTTTTTTTTTTTTTTTTTTTTTTTTT